ACTAGACTTTCCATTACATTTGCCTCAATAATATTTACGACTGCATTAAAAAAATAGCGAAACTTTCTCGTTTTAAAGGGTGAGTCAAAAAATTTTGAAGAAATGTTCTTATGACCTAGTTTACATACATTGTGCACTTGATGCGCGTATCAGATAATGTATTTGAACAGATCAGTCAATTACTAAACAAATTTACTAGTTGTTTTCAGTATTGAATAAAGTAAACATTTATATTTTATTTAAGATTTTAAAAATTTTAACATATTTTTAATGCAGTTTATCTAGAATTATATAAAGAAGTTGCTAAAGTTCCTATGTAAGCTAGGTTTTGGTTCTGAAACAAAAACTATTCCTTACTTTTGAAGACATTGTGTTCTTCCTAATTGTACGTGTCATAAATTTGATCGTGCTTAATATTGTGTATTGTGGATGATACGCAGGTCGGTTTGATGAGACATGGTAAATTGTTAGCTGAATCGGCGCCGCAGAAATTACTGGAGAAATTTCAATGCTCGTCATTGGATGAAATTCTCCTGAAATTATGCGAGGCACAAAATAATGCAGTTACTTTAAATGAAGCTCAGGGATCCAATATGGAAGACACGGGTAGCGCTGCCTTCACTCACGATCAAGACAAATATGAACAACTAAAAGTATGTACGATTTTTATTGTTATAAAAAGCTTTGCAAATTTATATCATTTTAAGACATTAATAAGTCAAATTATTAAGGGAAACAAAAGGGTTTCGAATAGACAAGTTTCACGGTTAAGAAGATTCCAAGCTCTATTTGTAAAGAATATCATCCGATTTACCCGTGATTACTCGTAAGTATTTATCATAACATTCATAACTTATCAATAATGCAAAAGGGATGGCTTTGTTAACAAAATAAAATTGCAATTGTTTCAATTTCGAATGTTGCCTTTTCGAATGTTTCCTTCAATATACAGTTCTGAATTGTCATATACGAGCTAGAGGTTATATGTATTTCAACATCTTGAGCTTTCATCAACTGGAAATTTCATAACATAAATAATTCTTACAGACAGCTAATTATTGCGATAGTCTTGCCGATAGTCGAACCCAGTATATTGCTTTTCGCAATAGGTAGTGATCCAAAGAACTTGAATATTGGAATTGTTAATGATGAAGCTGGCAATTGCGAATACGGCAGCAACTTTGGCAATATTTGGAATGACGAAACTACCTGCCACTTCGGCAATCTCAGTTGTAGATTCCTACACATTTTGACAATTCCATTGCAACACAGGTGTAATTTCAAAATTAATAATGTAATGTAATTATACATATATATAATGACGTGTTTAAGTACACGAATAGGTACAATGGCGTTTTCTGTTTTCTCGGTATCCTCTTCTCTGTCACCTATTATTCCAATGTAAATTGGAAAGTTTTTTATTCAATATTAATTTAAAGAAACAGAATAATAATTATTAACACGTTTGTTGATGATTCTCATTAATTATATTTCGTTTTCAGAAGTATTATGACAATATATCAGAAGCGAGATATGATATCCAAAGAGGAGAACTTCATGGTATAATATATTTTCATCAAAATTTTTCCGAAGCTCTAGAGATACGAATGGAAAATGTCACTTTCACGAAGGATTAATTTTCATCTTCTTGCCAGTCAGATTCAAGTTTTCCTCGACATGAGCGGTACGTTATATGTTGTGCAGGGCATTTCACAAATAGTTTAAAAAATTTCACTATTTTGTATATGTGTATGTATGTTTTGACACAGCCGCGCGCTCGCGCGTAGAAACGCAGCGATAAAAATTTACAAACACGTATGCAGCCCCAATGACCTTGACCCTGACATATGTTGTCAAAGTCGCCTCCCTGAGTGACCCTCAGAAGATTTTAACCGTCGCTCGTTGTTTGTTAAAAAATTAGAAATTTGCATGTTCTTATTTCGCTCTTAAAGCTTCCTCTATGAGGAAG